ATGATCTAAAGAATTCTTGACATTAATTAGAAGTAGCTAGAATATGGTTCGTGAATTTTCTTGAACATCATGGATACAAGAATGATGAAGGAACTTCTATAATATTCCGATCATTTCTTCCATGTTCCATCTACACCTATAAATATAGGTCGGCATTCAATCAAGACATACATACACATACACACACAAGAAGTCATACCATATACATAAGCCTTTCACCTCCTTATAATTCTCTACCAATTTACCTTCTCTCTACGAATCCACTATTCCTATTTTTGCACTACTCCTTTGTGAGTTCTTATACTGAGAGTTTTTTGTAATACTCACCCTTTCAAGGGTTCTTGTACTCTCCTATTTTCATCTAGTGAATCATTTCGGTGCTCGTCGTTCGTGGGTTTTTTTGATAATTTTTACCACGTTAAATATTGTGCGTCCAATTCTTTACTACTTATCTTGCTTTATCTATTTCCTTATCAATCTCTACATCTTTAATTTTGCTTTCGCTGTGCACTCACCAACCTTAGCACCAAGTTTAATTGTAACTTGTTTCATTAAATCGCAACTTCAGTTTAGCATTTGCAAAATCGTAAAAGTTAGGTAATGTCTAATATATTCTGATGAAACTAACGCAATTAGGCCAGTAGTTTTCGGGCTATTATCAAACTACAGTCTATATTTCAACAAATAAGTTGTCTTAGAGCAACTCCAATGGCAAGTTAATTGTCAAATTAGCTTGCCATGCCACCTAGGATTGCAAAGCTATTCTTCCTTCTAGTTATACCACAATGGTTAAGCTTATTGTCATTTAGTTTTTTCAATTTTATTTTTTAAATAATTAATATTTTATTAGAGACAATTAATTTCTAAGCTAATTAGCTTAACCAAGCTAATTTTCTTGGTCAAGCTAATTATTGAATTATCCTCCAATGGTTTGGCTATTAGCTTTAAAATTATTAAAATTGCAAGCTAGTCCCCAAAAGCAACCATTGGAATTGCTCTTAGCTAAACTGTATTTTGAATGAGCTACAAGTCTACAGCCAATAACTAATTCAAATTACATAAACCAGCATTTCATAATCAAAGCTGACAACCAAATAACTAAACTAAGCAGATTATTCGAATGACCTCCAACTTTCTTACAACTATATGACGATGTACTGAACATATTCCTACGCCCAAACAAAACTTTTTGTTGTCCTCTCCTGTCCCTAATCCGGCTAATCGTATAACAATGCTATGCAACACTCTGCAAATTAAAAACAAAATTTCATTATATGGTTGCTAAAAGATTAAAAACATAATTGACATGAGTCTCATGTCCTGCTAACAGATTAATTTCATGGCCAATTGACCAGATTGATAAATAAAAAAAGACCCCAATCGACAATTTGGTAAAAAAACTTACTTCGGCGACATTTTGGTAAAAACAATTAACTCAGATTATATTTATACCAAAAAATCAAATTTTTTTCAACAAACTCTTCAAAAACCGTAATAATTATGTTTTTTTTTTTGTGTTTTTTAAGTTTATTTTACCCATTTAAAATTTTGAATTAATATGTCATCCCCTTTTTATTTTGCTAAATCCGATAACAAATTTATTTCCAACCCCTTTTTTAAAAAAAAAATCATTAATAAGGGGTAGGAAATTAAGTGAAAATTAAACCTTTAAACATTTTTTTTCAAAAAGGGTTGGAAAATTAGGTGGGAGATTTTTTTTTAAGAAAAACAACCACGAAAAACGGACTAAATTAAGCATTCACGAGTAGTTTGTCAAAAAATTTTGCATTTTTTTGGGTTAAATGTCGCCTAAGATTTTATTTATTTATTTTTTTTAATTTTACCAATTTGTCACTTGGGGATAACTTTTTTTACCTAATTATCGCCGGAGTTATTTTTTTTACCAAATTGTCATTAAGGGTCTTTTTTATTTACCAATCTAGTCAATTGGCCTTAATTTCATTGTGTGGTTGCTCTGAATCATCAGCATTGAACTTGGAAGCTTTACAAACCTGTAGCAAAAATTTTAGTATTTAATATTTAGGAAAAATTGTCCGGAATAATCCCACCTTTGGGCATCCGCTAAAAATAATCCCACCTTTGGGTTATTTTTAAATAATCCGACCTTTACATCCAATCCGCTCATAATGGTCCCAACCGGTCATATAACTTGTTATAACAAGTTAATTGACACGTGACGGCCTGTGATTGGTCCAAAAACATAAAAATAAATAAAATAAATAATTTTCTTTAAAAAAGTTAAATTTTTATAAAGAAAAAAAAAATTAAAATAATAAAACAATTAATTATTTTTAACCACCCGCGGTTGGTGGCTACCCAATCCACCCTCCCACCGCCGGACTCCCCAACCTTGCATCTCCGACCACCCAGATCCCAACCCAACCCCAGCGTCGGCGCCAACGCCCATGCCGCGCCCAACCCCCCTCCCCCGAACCACCAACCAGCCTCTAAATCCCTTCCCGTCCCAAGCTCAACCTCCCACTACTTCCCCGTCCCAATCCCGAGCTCCCAAGCTCCCACCACTTTCCCCGCCCACGTTTTCGGCCCCTCCCCTTTTCCTGTCCCTTTTCCGGCCCCATCCCCTTCCCTTCCCCACGCTCTGATTTCGGTCTCCATCCCCTTCCCACGCCTGAATTTCGACCCCCCCTTCCCTTCCCCACGCTCTGATTTCGGTCTCCATCCCCTTCCCACGCCTGAATTTCGACCCCCCCTCCCCTTCCATAACCTTGATTTCGGTAATGGTTGATTGGTTGTGGTGGTTTAGTGGAGACAGAAGGGGGTAGGGAGGGTCGGCGAACGGCGCGGTGGAGCTGGTAGTTCTGGGCCTTGTCTAGGCCGATGGTAGGGGCGGCCAGGCGGGGAGGTGGCTGGGGTCGTGGTGGGGCTAGGGTTTGGTTTAAATTTTAGGTTTTTTTTTGTGAGAAAAAAGTTAAAAATAATTAATTAATGTTAATTACTAATAATCATTTCTTAAAACAAAATTAAAATTAAAACTTATTTTTTTGACCAATCACGTGGTGACACGTGTAAATTAAACTTAATAAAATAAAATTACCTACTCAAATGTTTACAGGTTACTTGGGACCATTTTGAGCAGATTGGGTATAAAAGTCGGATTATTTAAAAATAACCCAAATGTGGAATTATTTTGGGCGGACGTTCCAAAGGTGAGATTATTCCGGACAAATTTTCTTAATATTTATACATAGATGCCCATTCTTGAAGTGGACTGCCTCAATCTTTTTAATCACTTGCACAAGATGATCAGTGAGCCCACGACCTTTGGCTTTATGGTTCAACATATTCTTGCTATCTCATCCTCTAGTACCTATACTCACTTCTCTCATGTTAGGAGGAAAAGTAGTGCTGGAGTTTGGATTGAAGTACCTTTTTTTTTTATAGAGATTGAAGTACCTAATGAGGTGCTTACTTATGTAATTTCCGACGGTGCCTCTTTGAATCATCAAAACAATAAATAGCATTTGATGAAATTACATCCTCCTAGTTGTATTAACATTAACCTTAAAGAGCTTTAAGATCAGTGAAGAACTTGTGATCCTCGCTACCATTATATTTACATCAATGAAAGCAAAACACTGAGTATAAAACACTTACAACAGGCTGCTCTAATTTAACTTGATCAGTGACATATTATATAGTCACTAGTATGAAAGATTGAAAAATGAAAATAAAATAGAAAAAGACTATCTTCTTCTTTGCCTAAAACATGTCAAATTTGTCATAGATAAAGCGTCGATAGCAAGCTGCAACTATACATCATATACAACTAATCGGTCATCAACAATGACTCGGCAAACTGGACATCTTTTGCACTTGTCGCTGCAGACACTGCACCAGGAAAAGGAGGGGGGGGGGAGGAGAAGAAATCAGTGAAATGAATGAAAGATTTGAGCGGAAAAAAAAAAAAAAAAAAAAAAAAAAAGAGCAAGAACATGGCATAGCAAAGAACAGACACCTGCAAAGGATCCGATGCCTACAGGGGAGCAGAACAATACTAATATCTCCCTCAAAGCATATTCGGCAGAGAACTTTGTCCTGATTCAAACAAAAAACAAAGGTGTCATAGCTGAGAAAGAAATCAAATTCACCAGATAAGTATATAATGGTTGTACAAAATGCAAAATCAACATTGATCAAGTTAAATTTGAACATCAGTAAACATGATAGAGTACGCAATCTCATATAAAGGTGGCATATGGGTTGTTTGGATTGCATTTGTTTTGGGATCATTAAAGTTGGGCAAAATTCAGGCTATTGGTCAATCAGCTTAGTATATTAATTTAATCAAATATTACGTAGCATTATTTTTCGAGCAGGGTCAGGTCAAATTTGGTTCATTTTAATTCCGAGTATGGGTCAGGTTATTCAAATGAGATGCAAGTCAATTAAGCCATGACTCATTAACTATATCACACGCATCCTGGTCCACAGGCCAGGATATAATCATCAACCTTGACTAATCTCAAATGATAGCTACAAGTACCAAAGGCATCTATGTCAAGCATTCATACCAAAGCACTTAAATATGTTAACAAACATCAATAATAGGAATGAACATGACCCATTATTTGATTATCTATGAAACAGATATAAAAAGCAAACGTATCATGCATGTACAAAGATGGCTCATATAAGCTTGAGAATCATACATTTTGTAATCTTTCATACTCTTGTTGGCTATTTTTGGTTATTTCAGTCTGCTGAACAAGAGCTGCCTGCAGTTTCCAAACCTGAATACAAATAACAGAATTCCATATTATAACCGAGTTCAACAGAAGAATTAAAATCAAGTCATAAATCTAGAACAGTTTCCTCAAAAGTTGTGAGGTCAAATGGCCAGTCCATTTCCTAAAAGAAAACTAACCTCCTCAGCCAAGTCCTTCTTTGGCATTTTTTTCACAACCTCAGGTGGAAATTGGCAGAAGGTATTATACCTGAATATAGAAACAACAGAAACAGAAGATTGATTGAGGAGCTAATAAACTATTTTAAAAAATAAATTCTCATAATAATTGATCTTTATATTTTCTGCTCTAGTTTATTGATAATGGCCTTTTGACTTTATCCGCAAGTCTATGGGCACTGTTTGCAATCAAACCCCCACCCTCTCCCAAATAAAAGGCAATACACCAATACATCTACTATGGAATGGAGGATTTGGTACAGAATATATAATTATTAATGTAGCAACTAGCAGATCTCGAATGCCTGTGGACAGCGGAAGCAGCCTTCTTAATAGAGAAGCGACTAAAAATCAACTTACATGGAAAGTAAGACACTTCAAAAATCCAGCCTGAAGACTGGATGCGAAAGTTATTTAGTTACAGGAGCAATGCGAGACTTGGGTACTTCAATCAAGGGAAAGCATCAACATAAATTTTTGGAAGTAGCTGAAATCAAGTCCCAGATGCTCCTTTCGAGTTTATGTTCAAATAAAATGACATGATCTCATAAGGCAACCTATTGATTGAAGACTACACCATATGAAAACAATATTTACATTGTACCATCCAATTAAATTAACAATACCCTTAGAACTATCCATTTCCTTTCATTCATCACATAAAAAAGCCTAGCACGCACACCGCTTGGCTCTAGGCCTTCAACTTCCTTGCTTTGAGACTTCCACATGGCTCAAGCAGCCCACTAGCCCAAACTAGCCCAAAGCCCGGATTCTACTAGCAGAATGCCACATTGCCACCTTCCAATCAACACATTAATGCAAAAAATCTGTTTTAGGTCTTATGCGCCACATCCAGCACACTTACTCAAGCCAATTTGAAACTTCGGATAAGGAAAAAAAATAAAAAATAAATTTTTTTTTTTTTTTTTTTCAAGACATCCTGAAGTAGTAGGACTGTGTAACTGTCCAATATGTTAGGATAAATGGAGTGTAAAACACAAACAAGTGGAAAGTAATAGCACATTGCATCAATATATTGGAGGAAAGCTACTAACCCAGAAGCCCCTTCAAGCAAAAGTTTTGCGCGTTCTTCATGACTTCCCTCATCAATGGACCACCAGCCAATTAGCCTATTTTCCAACAACCAAAATGGCAGAAAGAGGTTAACATTCATTTTCCAGATATGCATGATTGTTTAGTAACCAGATACAATGAGCATTATATTAGAGTTATCATCACCTTGAGCCATGATGCATAAATGCAAGACAATCACCAAGTTTTGCAGACAAATAAAAATATGGCCCTTGCCCAGCATCACTGCGCAGCAAGAGATAGATTTTCTCTACCAGTCTTGACATAGCAAATAAAACCCCAACACCTTGTAAAAGGAACAAAGGAGAAAAAAGAACTGGAAAAGGGATATTTTTAGCACCACTAGGAGTTCCCTGCAAAAATTTAAAATTTTTTTTTTAAGAAAATTACGTTGTTTAATATGTAAGCCAAGGTGCCAAACAAATTAATAGGTTGTTTTTTTAATTACACAAGCAAGCAATACAACAAATCATAAAGAAGTTTACCTCTAAGCGCATGCAAAGGAAGACTTGGAAAGTAATAATTGGTATTTTCATAAAATGGCCACCAATATCAGGCAAACCACACAGGCTCTCCTGGTTTTGATCCTGATCTGGGCATACAACTAACCCACTAGTACAGCTTGAAGATGCAGTATTCTCCGTGGGGCATGAATTCCCATGTATCATAGGATTGGACCATTTTGTACAAACAAGAAAGGCAAAACACTCTGCAATACTGCACAAAATAAAGTAATAACATAAATAACAAAATGAGAAACCAAAATTCATCATCATAGGAAAATCTTTGTAGAAAGAATAGTAGAGGTAATTAAACTGTTAAACCCAGGCTGGGCCACCAATCTAATAAACGACCTGATGCATCAAGATGGGCCAAGATCAGCCCCCCATGGTTTCAAAGGATAGAACAATGTATAAGGCTGAAGGCATGCCAAGGTGATAAGGATTTTCAGTACGCCTCACTGAGGCGCACTTGATAAAAAGTCAAAAAAAAAAAAAAAAAAAAAAAAAAGGAAGATTTTTTGCTTCCAGCTGCACCTCAGTGAACCTCATCAAAAGCACCCCACCTAGCCAATAGAAGGTGCATGGCCCAGGTTGCCTTGCGCTTGCGGCTCAACACCTAGGCACACTTTCTTATAAACTGGGTTAGAATGCTCAATAATAACAGCATCAGGTCAGACAGGAAACCCTTGGCAAGAACCTGACCCAAAAGTGGACATAGCCAACTTCAATAACCTCTAGTTAGAGCTTTCGGTGAAAGTGGGGAAGGGTTTGGCTCATTCAGAAAGATTGACCGTGAGAGCAGAAAAACGTTACCCAAAATTGATAAATAAGTCCCACCATCCCAGTGAACCAATGTCACCTGCAAGAATTTAATTTGAAAGAATTAAGAGATATAAAGACATAAAGATGAGAAACTAAGTAATTCATACTGCAAACGGAAATTAAAAGATTCAAAACATGATGGAAACTGGAAAGCAGATTGAGTAAATATTTTCAAGCAGGACAACATTTGAATATATACAGTAATTGCACAGAAATATCCCCATGGAAATCAATAACCTAGGCAAGTGGTGAGCAAGCAAAAAAATTTGTATGGAAGAAACTACCATTATGAAAACTAAAAAGAGTGAGAAAGTCATGCCATAAAAATCTGCAATCTGTCAGACAGTTACTCCTTACTATCTAGACAACAAAGACGATTCAACTCCACCACAAACTAGATAAAAAAATAATTCCTTACAGTAAATTACGGTTTACCAAAGAAAATCTCAAATGCATTTTGTCCAAATGATTATATTTCTTTCCAACCCTTTAACCACCTAATAGTCACAGCAAGTCTGCCAAGTGCCAAGCAACACAACCTAGCCTATTTTTGTTCAGTCCAAGATAATTTTTTGTCACTTCTTTATATATAATTGACACGGAAAAAATACAAGATATCAAATGTCTTAGGTTATTGGAGAGGAAGACAGCAGATACGAATGGGATGAGAGTTGAAGAAAAAAATATATAAAGGAGGAAACTAGCAATATCGTCATTTAGTCCATTGAACAGAAATGTAGAATTGAGAGACATTATTTGTCTCTAAGCTGATTTAAAAGAAATGAAAGGGAAATATATTGATTAGATTTCTTTCTGTTCAAGAATTGTTGATTTGGAGGGAAAGCAGAATAAGTCTTAATAAGAAACCTTCTTATCTCCTTTATTTTCAAATTCTATGCATAGTTTAAAGGCAAACCTGGGCTCTTTTTATCTTTTACTTGATTTCCTTTCTCATCAAACCCTGTCAACCAGACATGCTGTTAATAACACAATAGGCTGAATGGCTTTTCCAAAAACAATGTAAAGTTGTACAAAGTAACGCAGTTCTATAAGAAATCAAGGAGTCCAGCCTGTTCGCGAACTACACGAGGTTTGGCTTTGGTCAAATTTCAGTTTGAGCTGGCTCAACTCGAGATCTTAATGAGGCAAGCTTGATCTATACTCGGCTTGAAAGCTTGTGAACAAACTCAATTCTTTTTTTTTAAAAAAATAAGGTTTACCATAAAATTAACTATATACATTTGGGCCTTGAGTGCTACAATAAACCAGCAAATTTTATATACAATGGCAGTTAGGCCTCGAGCACTAAAATCGAGTATATGAGCTTCAAACCCAGCTTTGAGGCAAGGTCAGCCTCATAAACCTCGAGTTTTGCTCAATCTAGGTTCGGTCTTGGTTCAACTCATTAAAAACCTCCAAGGCATGTTCAAGCCAACTTATACACTAAAAAAGATAAAGTAACAAAGAAGGTGCTTAAATTGCATGTTACGTCCAATGTTTCTGAAAAGACTTGGCTTTGAGCTTGTACTAGAACAAAAAACCAAGTGACTAAATTGATAAAATTTGAATAACATCAGAGTCAAAAATAAAATGACTTTGATATCAATTGAACAGCAACTATCAATTCAAAGACAGAATCAAGTACACCAACTTGACTCTTCCCTTCTACCTCAACTTTACATTCATAAACGGTACGATTGGAATGGAGGAAATTAATCAATGAAGTAATAATAATTGAGTATTACGTTGTGGAAGGGTGTAGAAGGTGATGGTTGCAAGTATTTGGTGGAAGAGATAATTAGGAGGGAGGCAAGGTAGTATATATTACCGACAAATGGGGGCAATAATTACCAACCCCTACCCTAGGGTAATTGATTTACCCCCATTACTGCCTTGTCCTTCAAGCACCACCTCATCATTGAAGACCCTACTGGCTATTAGTCTATTACTCCTTGAATGATTCCCTTCATTCTAAGTATGGCCCATATATATATATATATATATATATATATATATATATATATATATATATATATATATATATATATATATATAGGGGAAGGCTCTCGTGAGAACCCCTCCTTTGTGTGAGAACTCTTTCATATGTGAGAACACTCTCTATGTTCTAAATTTTTACTCGTATGTTCTAAATTTTTACTCACATGTTCTAAATTTTAGATCAATTCTCATACAAGTATGAGTTCTCACATATGGACCTATTGTCATTTATATAACTTATTGCATTCCCCAAACCAGGAGAGTTCATCTCATAACTTATTAGTTTTGGAAAGCTACAGAAATTTTCAGAAAAGCCTAGATGTACAAGCTAAAAGATAGCCTGGGCAAAGTAGTAACTACAATGTTTTTAGTTCATATAAATATCAGTTAGAGAATATTAGAAAAGGGCAGGGAGAAAGATTGTACCAGATATTTTTAAGGCGGTGAAAAATGTTGCAGCAAGAAAGAAAACCATGGAGATAGCGACCCAGAAATGCTGCACACAATATATTAAGGTTGAACCGTTAAGCAACTAAGAAGCAAAGAAAAAGAATCTAATAATTTTCAACAATCAATATCACTTGAAAAATCATTAGAATTAAAGCTATATACAGAAAATCCTATCTCATGGTTAGGAGAAATTGAATCAACTGTAAGACCACCAATTCAATGTAGATCAACTAAAATTGGGTTATGATCACAGTATACTGGTGTTAGCAAATTGTTCCAAAATTTAAAACTGATGTTTATTACTACCTTTGTTCCAAATCTTTAGTTGGGATTTTCATCAAAAGATTTCCCAAAATTCTGCTTACTAATGTTCAAGTATTAGCCATTCCTAGATATTGTTCAAATGCTTTGTTCAGGATGTCCCACAATTAGTTTCCTTGGCATAAAGAGCAAGTTAGAAACCTTGTCGAATATAACCACAATAGCTACATTAAAAGATTATATGTCCATTGCCCAAGGAGATGTTGAAAATTTGGTACAGAGAGAACAAAACTTACTGGAAGTGTCTCCCATATTGCGTCATCATTTAAGCTTTCGTCATCTACTGGCATTAAAGCCCTGCACATTCTGTAAAAACCATTTCACACCTCAGATATAATGCAACAGGTGGAAATGTGGAATAGTCAACAACAAAAGTACATACGCATAAGGAGCAAGCAGAGTGTCTATACACATTAGCCAAATATTTAAGTGGTATTAACTGATTCTTATTCAAGATGCAGAAGATTAAACAAAAAGAATAGAAAATGCACTACAATCCAATAAAGGCAAGTAATTATTTAATGCTTTTATCACAAGTACAGAAACAAATCAATTAGCTGCATCTTAGGGCAATTAGCTGTATCTTAGATTCTTAGGGAAGTTAGAACAACTTCTTAGAAACCAAGGTGAAAAAACCAGCTCCAGAAACAATTGAATCATTATGACATCATAATCATTAAGTTATTTTTCATCTTTTTACAGGAATGGGAGTAAAGCCCTCCTTGTCTCTTATTATGTGACAGGAGCAATAAGAATATGTACTACGATCAAAGTAGATACAATATCAAAATTAGGTATGAGGCACTATGAATCAACTCAAGGTAATCACTGTTTTGTTTGAAGACAACTGGCACATAATATTGTTGAAGGCAACAGACAGATTTGCTACAATGTTGAGTGGTATCTCAGCCAGCAACATACATCAGTTGGAATAAGGAGCAGACATTTCAGAATCTTCATCCAATCAAGAGTTCTAAGAAAACATCTCCGCAATTATTGAGGTTAGATTGCAAAGATCTATCATCACCTTCTTCCCTACCCACCCGGCCAACCAAAGCCAGAGTTTTGTCGGAGGCACTGGGTTGGTGTAATTCTACACCCTGGTGGATGGACACCCAGTCATCCTCAGGAGGGGTAAAAAAACCCACTTCTGCTAGTTATAAAAGATAGTAATGGTAATAAGTTTGTGTAACTTTGCAAGAAAATCCTCATGCCAAAGTCCATGGGAATACAATTCCATGTCAAAGTAAGCATTCGTCTTCACAAATTTCGATTCCCAGTCAATACCACATCTAACAGAATCACGAGGGGTGATAAAAATTCAAGAAGAAAACCACATTTGAGACTAATGTTGCATTTCCATGGACATTGACATGAATTTTTTTCTCAGAAAATTACACACAAATCCATAACTATTATTGCAAGCATTTTTCTTCATAGCCAATTAAATTTACTACAAGCCTCCTCCCATTAAGCAGCCAACAAGTCATAAACTTCTTCTCCTATATGCTTGTATAGTTGTATATTCATCACCTCATCTACTTGAATCCTAATTCAACTATCTAAGTCCCAAACTCCTTTCTCCAAAGGTGTATCATAGCCACATTAATACATAAACAATTCAAATTCCATTTTCACATTGAGATCTAAGTAGAAGATATGTTAAACTGCTATAAAGAATTCTTCTCAACTCTTCCATAAAAGCTGCTACACACAACCCATGACTTGTCGACATAAATCTATATTCTATGGTCAACTATTCCTGGCCCTTGAATTATATGCAGGAGAACTTGCTTCTTGCAGTTGACAAGTCCCTCAAAACAGATCCCTTACATAGTTATACCCCTCATCAGCAATAAGCAAATTATTTTCAAACATGATAATTGATTCCACCAACATAGATTTTGCTTAGATGGGCTTAATATAGCTGAAAAACACATGATCTAGAATAATAAGTGATTTAGACAAATCACACTTAAAGTATTTAGTTACCAAAAGTGGCGACATGTAAAACTTCTAATACTATGGTGGCTAACGCGCGCAATGCTTGTGCCATAGCTAGCCATGTTTAGAGAGCCCTTGTTGACAACATTAATGAGGGAAAAAAATATGTAAACAAATATATTATGGGTATAAATGTTCACACACTATTCTTAAAAGTTCCAAAAAAAAGCAATTAATATTAATGAGGGCAAATAAGTAAATAAACATTTTAGAGGGAATAATTGTCCAAACATTATTCATAAGAGTTAATCAAACAAAGAAAAACTTAGATACAATTAACATCATATTAATAGGGGCCTATAGCTAAACAAATATATTAAGGATATAATTATCCTCACACTATTCTTAAGAGTTTTCTCATACTTTTTAAAAGATAGAGATAGAGATTATGCCAAAGTCTCAGTTATTAGAGTCAATACCTGAAATTGTCAATTAGAATAATTGTTTCAAAAGCCAACAAAGGAAGGAAAACAATCTTCAGGCTCACAGCGGCAGCACCATTAACTGTCACAGAGTCAATATAAAGATTTACAAGCAAAATCCCTAAATTAGTTAAGGTATTAAATAGTGTAAATACTGCATTACCAATCATTGGTGATAACTGCAATCTAATAAATAAAATAAAAAGAAAATTTTAAAAAAATAAATAAATAAATAAAATAAGGAAAAAAGATCAAACTAACTGCCTACACAATAACACCTACGTACAACATGTCATGCTATAAACGTCCTTCCTTTGAAAGAAAACAATCAAAATAATGAAAAGACACAGCAAAATGATGCTAACAAAACATACCAGAAAGGCTCTCAAGATATACGCATAGGAGCAATTCAAATGCAATGATCAATGGTGCGGCCACAACAGCATGACAAGGTGCCCACTGTTATCGGAAGACATACATTAGCTATATGTTAACATAAGCATCAATTTCATAGAAAAAGAAAGCACCAGCAGCTTTTCAAAGTATTTGAATCTAGAGAATTGGGAGTTATTATATACATGACGATCATGTGGAACTGAAGGGGCAGGTAAAGAGAACCTTCCACGGGCAACAACAGCATGAAACAGCCATATGGGCAAAAAGACAGTCCTGCAACATTGCTCACATATTTAGAATTCACAAATACATAAATGCAGCTAAGCCTATGAATGAAATAACTTAAAAGAACAAAGATAAAATTGACATCACTTTCCTCTCCTAATAAATCCTAAATCATTGTTACTCACAAAAGGGCAAGGTTCACAGGAATTTTGCAAGGAATACAACCATATCCCACAAAAGCCATAGGCAAAAGGGTGCCCTAAATTCAAACCGTATGACATCCTTACAAAATCCTAATACCTCATCATAAATAGAAGAAAATCATGTATAAACAATATTCAACTCAAATGATATGACATGCTGTTAGCCTAGCTTATGTGACTCCACCACCACTGATTTCTTCTACCTTTACTATCTACATTATTACAGTGCCTTTCACATCCAAACAAAGTAATTTGGCCTCAATAAGACCTAAGATCATGAGAACTAGAATCTCATCCTTGCCAAAATCAACAAAAGCAAAAGTAGCACTCTTACATGCAGCATGCATTGCGATTTTGAGCAATGAGTATAACTTGAGGTATTTCCTTATACTAGGGAGGTAGGCCAAAAGCCTATTTCTCTTGATCAAGAATTGCTTACCATACTCTGATAGAGCAAAATCTTTACTACAAGGTTTTATAGTTCAGATGCAGTCCTTAGGAAATAACAGTTGCGGAACTGCTTATGAAATTACAGATGATTTGCAGCTGTCGCAGCCTAATATCACAAATCACAACTGCAGTACACTCTAAACCTTTACAATGCGGTTGCAAGGCGTTGATGCAACCGAGATCTAATTTCTTTAAAGAGGAGCATCAAAGCTTGATATTGTTGTATGTATTTGACGGTCTCAAAAACTATATAGCACTACCTAAAGAGGTTTCTGTAATCTACCTAACCTCTGAAAAGAGATTCTTTGGCTTTTCTCCTAATTTAGTTATGAAAGTGAAGACCAGACCTTCAACTTTAGATTTTTCTGGTATGTACCCCATGAATCCATGATATCTCTATCCTGCTTTTGAAGCCAAACACACAATTCAAAAGTGCAAACCAAAAGAGTTATATCTGTGGACATTGAGCTACTTGTTTGTTGCCTATCTAGAAATTCACAACCATTTGACTCCCCTATTTCAATTACTAGAAAAATCATTTGGACAAGCTTCAAACTTTCCTTCAAATCAACTCAAAAATGTATAAGCAATACATTTATACATGCAAGGAATTCAGTCAAAAAACAATTAGTACTCATTCCTCAAACAATTTTTTCATCTCAATATTGAGTATGTAACCCATCTTCAATGTTCAAACAATCGACCACACAAAATAAGTGATGCCAAGAAAGATTTAACATTAACTAAAGAAAAACTTGGCCGCCACCAGCACCAACCCTTTTTCACCCTCCCAACTTAGTGTAATTATAAGGAAAGGAAAACAGATGTAGAAACTGTGGTCAACTCTAAGACTTCAGTCCACAACAATAGAAATCAATTCCTTGTCTCATAATTAAGGATTCTCTAAATTTGGCAAAATTCAAACATAATTTTATTTCAAGTTGCCAACTTTTTGCAGACCCACAAAATTCTTTGACAACTTGACAAGTATGACATCATAAAAAAGCTACCTGAATAAAACTTATACCAAAAATTCAAACCCTTTAATGGAAATTCAAAAATCCCATTTGGATTTATCATACTACAAGGCATTCTAATCAACAGAACACACCCAATTCAGGGAAAAAAACAGCTAAATTCAAACAAAAATGATTGGTTCAATTACATATTGAACAAAAAAACCCCACAAAAATTAAAGCATAATTACAAATTGACAATTTATAGTCTATAAAAGAAATACTATTGCAAACAATTAAACCAAAAATAATACAAACTTTCACAATTATCATATCATATCATAAAAGTGATAATAACATAAAATTAAACCCAAAAAAAAAAAAAAAAAAAAGGAAAAAAAAAACGAACCACCAAGAAAAAGAGGAAGGGTGATCAAGCTTGAGAACAAGCAAAAGGGTGAAAGTGAAAAGCAAGCCATGCGCAGCCAACCCTTGTGAAGACTGCGCCACTTTTCTCCAGCTCATCGCATGCCTTCTTCCTCTCATATTTTCACTACTTTAATTTCAGAAATTTCACTGAAAATTCAGGAAATTAACAGAATATTCAGTGAAAAAAAAAGTTGGGGTTTTTATTTTTGAGAATTTTGCATGGATTTATTTTTTTCTTTTTTTTTTTTTTTGTGTTGGGAGGAAGGGAATTTGTGGGTTTTAGATAGAGAAATTGAGGGTTTTTAGAGAGAGAAAGAGATGAGTTACAGTGCGCGCCATTGATGAGTGAGCAGATGTTTGAGAAAATTGATTACCATAAACTAAACCAGACGAATTTTATGCCTTCTTGTAAAAATTTATCCGTTTTTTTTTTAATTCATTTTATTTTATTTTATTTTAATTTTGAAAGTATCTTGAAAAGTTTGTTGCTTCTTTCATTAAAAAGTGACCCAATAATTTCATAGAAAAAAAACAGCAAATTAAATGTAGAAAAAATAAATAAATAAAATCTGGTTAAAAAGAAAAGGAAAATTGAGTATGAATTGATGGAAATCTCTTGTGAAGATATAATAATTAGTACTAGTTGATATTTTGTGATTATGACATCCAATTCTATATAGAATGAGTACAGTAAATGTAACATCATCAAATGATACTTTTTTAATGTTTATAAAAGTGGATTGTTAAACATCGCCCGCAAATCTCCACATAAAGCCCACAAACTTATATTGAAGTTACAATATTGCCCTTGAACTAAAAAAAACACAACCTCAAAAAAAACCAAAGTACGGGAATGTCGAGGCGGCAAGGCAAAGAGTTGGCGGCGGCTGCGGAGGAGGGAAGGTTGGCTCGTGGCGGCAAGGTAAATTTTTTTTTTAAAAAAAAAGAAAAATAACAAAACAACCACGGCTGGTGGTGGCGCCAGATCCGGCAACCACGTCCACCGCCCTGGCGTCTGAGCAGGACGCCCAGCCACGGTAAGTGGCGTTTGGGACAGGCGCCAGTCACCGTGGCTAGGCGTGCTGCCCAGACGCTAGGCCGGTGGACGTGGCTGCCGGATTTAGCGCCACCACCAGCCGCCGGCTGTCCTGGCCAGGCGCCCCACCTCCAGCCGTGGTTGTCTTGTTATTTTTTTTTTTTCTATTTTTGTGTAATATCATGTTTTTTTTGTTGGAAATTGATAATTTTTTGTTTTCTTTTTTTTGTGTAATATTGTGTTTTTTTTTTTTGTTGGAAATTGAGAAAATTTATTTATTTTGAAAATTAAGCAAGTCAAATGTAAAAAAAAATAAAAAAAATAAAAAAAAAATAAAAAAAAATTTAGAACCGGCGCCTGGCCGGGACGCCGCCACCATGGTGGTGGCGCCTAGCCGGGACGCCAATACCATGGTCATGGCGCCTGGCCTAGAAGCCTCAACCATGGTACAGGCGTCCTGGCTAGGTGTCATCGCCATGGTGGCGGCGTCCCGGCCAGGCGCCGGTGCCACGGTGGTGGCGGCTCCTCTGGACGCCAGGCGTCTTTTCCGATGACATTTAAATTCTCACCTCGTTTTGCTGCGACGACGACTGCTCTTCGTCGTCCCCCGGCTCTCCGGCCTCCCCCGGCATCCCCGTACGACTCCACATTTTTCAGTGAGTGAAATTTTCGTTTTCGGAGAAAATTGACAAAGGGGCAAAACTGTCAAATTATATTAATTTTGTGGGCTTTATGTAGAAATTTGTGGGCGATGTTTAACAAATCCCTTATAAAAGAGGGTCATCAATTGAATCTTGGCCTACTTGCTTATCAAGATAATTTTTGGATATTGACAAATACAACAATGTTAAATTTGAATATAATATCATAATTAATTAGCTCCTCCGTTTTAAAATGTTTTTCCACTTGTACTTTAATTGAAAGATAATCACGTAGAATCTTTTCAAATTTTTCTCAATGTGTTTTAAATACTTAAGTTTTATACTACCTCCGTAAACGGTTATCTGCAACGATGGAACATTTTTCCTCTCTACTTTATGTCCCATCGTTGCAGATAACCGTTTACGGAGGTAGTATTTTACTTTGGTTTTTTTTTTCTTTCTAATTGCACCATTTGGGTTGGGTACAGGATTTAAGAAAAAGTGTAAAAGATGGATTATGTCAAAGGTACCCATGTGAAAAAACAAATTTGAGGTAGAAAAGGTGGGGTAGTAATGGTTGTTATAGCATGTAAACAAGGGTAAGTAAAAAATTTTGTGTGTGAACACAACCAAAAAAAATAGAAAAACATCCAAAGTATCGTAAGGAAATGGTACAATTAATATGCAACCTCCCAAAAAGGAAATGGCGCAATTCAATATAAATGGAGGAAGTACTCTGTAATACATATTGCATTGTTGAAAATTGTGCAAAAAGCAAATGGAAAAAACAAAAAACGGAGGGAATAAAAATGCACTCCCTTCGTTTCTATTTGTTAGTCCACCATCTTATTTTAGGTGTTTCATAAATATCTACCCATATTGAATAAATCATTTTTAACTTAATTTTTTTTTCCTAATTCACCCATATTGAATATATTCAAAGCTTGTAAATTGAAGGTAGATTAGTTAATAAAATGTCAAAAGAATTCTGATTAGTTAAATTAATTGATTGTGAATTGATGACATCACTCTAAGTAAGGAAATCCCTCACTTAAATTACGTAATTATGGTTGATGCTTTCCCAAAAAAAAAATCAAAAAATTTAAATAAGGCAAAACTAATTATGAACTGTTTTTGTACTTTAATGCTAGATTCCAAATATTCTTTTTTCTTATTTTACGTGATTGATTCTCAGGAAAAATAAAAATACTCACAGAGTCTCACATTTCATCTACAATATAAAGTGCAAAAATGCATTTGAAAACGCTTCATAAAGAGTAGTAAATGGTAGGAAGTATTTCAACTAAGAAGTTGCGGAACATGAATGGAGGTACGTTTCAATTTAAATATACATTTTATATTATATGCCATAATTTTAAAGCTCTTAAAGTCTTATCCTCTTTTTAATATATAAACGAAGATTATTCATTCAGCCTAAATACGTGAAAAAGAGAGATAAAATAAATTACTACTGCAAGAAATTAAATAAGACGCATAAATTTTTGTTTTATTGCATACTTCAATTTCAGAGCTGTTAAGGCCATATGTTATTGTGTAAATTAAATGACGATTATTTCTAGAGCTTAAATACTTTAATTTGATACATCATTTAACAGGTAAATTGAGAATAATGATACGACTTATTACTTTCTTTTCAATATACTAACCAAAAACATAAAATTGTCTCCTTTTGTTTGGATTATTTTGTTTAAAAAATTGAAAATTATCTCCATTCATTTTTCAACAATTTCTTTAGTTGATACTTAACTATATTACATAACTTAATTACAGAGTACTTAGTTTCTTACCCTCTTCTTATTGAGTAAACAACTATTTCTCGAGCTTAAATAAGAGAAAGGGAATTTAAGAATGATTAAGTTATGCGATAAACAATTATATTAATATTCATGCGCCTTTTTCCCAATTTGTAAAACCCAGCCTGAAAATCCAAGATCGAGTTGGTCGATTTTATTTTTTTTGGTTTAAGGCAACCTAAAATTTCATTTATAGTTATAATTTTGGTTTGGCTTTAAAATCAATTAGTATATGTTGGTCTCGGAACTAGTTAGGATTTTATACTCCCCAGCAAAATGACTTGTATTTAAAACGGCCAGGAAATCTATTCATGTTCCACCACTTCTTAGTTGGAATTTAATATATATATATATATATATATATATATATATATATATATATATATATATATATATATATATATATAGTATGGATCATGCAAATGTTAGGGTGAAAACTGAAAACGATTCATCCTAGCCGTAGATTATCATCTAGTGGATGACATCTAACGTTTATATACTAATTTTCTCTCTCCTCCCAGGAAAACAATTTCTCTCTCCTCCGTTATTTTCTTCCTCCTCTTCCTCCTCTCTCCTACTTTCTCTCTCCTAATTTCTCGACATTTTTTTCCCCAATTTTCACGCTACTGTTTTCAAATTCAGCTTTAATTACTTTGATTTTCAACAATTTTTCAGCTCTACGATCTATTATCAGGTGAGTTCTTTGTGTTAATTTCGCTATTTTTTGCATGATTTGAGGTTTTAAGGTTTCTGAAATTTTCATCAATTTTGTTCGATTTTGTTTGATTTTGCGATTTTCAGTTCGATTTTGTTCAATTTAGTTCGATTTCCTGTTTTACTAATCGATTAACTTTAGTTTCTTCCTTAATTTCATTGATTTGTTCGGTTCAATCGAGCTTTTCCACCATTGTTAACTAATTTGAAGTTCAACTTGTTGATTTGATTGATTTTTGCAGTGGAAGAAGAAGCGTATGAGGAGATTGAAGAGGAAGCGCCGAAAGATGAGACGGAGATCTAAGTAGAAGAAGATCTACAGCTTTCACGATTTTTCACTCGCATTGAGAATTAGCTTTCTGATATTTGTGACGGTATTTTGAAGCTTCTGGACACTAAGCTTATTCCTCCTGCTAGTAGTGGTGATTCTAAGGTCTTTTATTTGAAGATGATGGGAGATTATCATAGGTATTTGCGGCTGAGTTTAAGACTGGTGCTGAGAGGAAAGAAGCCGCTGAGAGTATTCTCACAGCCTACAAGGCTGCTCAGGTATAATTAATTTTTTCCTTTTTTTTGTTTGGTAGATCTGTTAATTAGGGTTTGGATTTGGTTTTTGTTTGTGATTTTTGCGTTGATTTGCTATGATATTTTCATTTTGCTGGAATCATTGAGGAATATTCAAGAATTTGATAAGCTCTTTATGAGTTTCTGCTTCAAGAACAACTCATCTTCTGTGAGTGGCTCTTGTTTTACCATCTTTATAGGCTCCTGGTGCTTCTGTTGTTGATTACAAGAGTTATTATCGCATTCCTCTTGGACATCTGCAGTGTAAAATGTGAAGGATTAGTATCTATTTCTTTTTCGTTAAAACATATGAATTAGTTTTGAAAATCTGTTTTTCTTGATCAGATATTAGGAAGATAATATTTGATGAACTATAGGATGTTTGATAAGCTTGTTTGTTTGTTTCTTTCTTTAACCAAGAGCATTGATGGTTGTTCTTGCAATTGTGGTTTAAATGGTGTTTGAACATGGGAATATATATGTGTAAGAATCAAATGGAAAAAAGAATATGGACAGGAAATGAATAGATTTGTTTGGGTCAGAAACTCGTAGAGGATACATATCCTCTAGTCTCTGATGGTATATTCTTTTATTGGGGAATTGGAGTCTTTTTTAAGAATTGCTCTTGAAAATTTTAGGCATGTAATTGCTTACCTTTTTCTGTTATCTGATGCATGATTTGTACTTCACCAGGTATCAATTTTTCCCTTTGATCTTCAATAACTGTTGATACTTTATTCTCATCCTGAAATATGCAGGGTAAAGGACATGTTAGTTAAATGGTAGAAGTGTGTCTTTAGAAATTTATTTCTAGAACTCGAGTATGCTAGTTTGCGTTATTACGAGCTCTATCATTCCTGATCTTACTTTGTCAGTTGGAGTTAGTGTAGTAACCTTCTTCAGCATTTGTGAAGATTTATCTCTGATTGTATGATTTTTGGTGCCTGCCTGCTCAATATCTACATTTTGTCGGGATTCCTCATATACAGGTGGCTTGCTCGTATCATGATTTCCTGGTATGCTTTCATTTGCCTCTGCTTCTGTCCTT